TTTTGTTGATGGAAGTGTTACTGCACCTTAACGTTTCATTTACTTAGATGCATTTTTTTTAAATTCAAAAGCCGTTTTTTTCGACGCATTAATTTAGATTGCAAAAAGTTCGCGTCATTTTGTGTAAAATATCAAAAAGAATCGAATAGTGCGAGCTTTTTGCAATCTGAAATAATGCGTCAGAAAAAACTACTTTTGAAATTTTCCTAAAAGCATCAAAGTAAATTGAACCTTAAGCTAGAAAAAATTTAAACAGAATTTTTCTGTGCTCCATATACCTGTAAATTTTCAACCTTTTTCAAGTCTCATTCTTGCTTGGAACTCGATTTGGTTGAAAGTTGTACTGCACCTAAGCGCAAAAGAAACGGTCAATCTCTTGATCCCCCTTCTGATGAAATGTATTTGAGCAATCAATTTTCAAATGATGAAAAAGCTCCATCATCATAGGCAAAATTCCACTCAACATTTCCGTCTTAATGCCAAAAAGGAAATGGTCCTCTCCTAGGGGTATCCCACTTTAAAGTATAGCTCTAGTATCAGTTAAGTATTTCCAAGTATCTGATAAGTATTCTTAGGCATTTTTAAGTATTTTAAGTTTTTTATTTTTTTTAAATTGTGGTAACCGATTTCTAATGTTGTTGTATTTTTCGTCAATGTATTACTTCAATCTGTTAAAATTGAATGAAGTAGTGTAATCATGTTTATGAGTGAGTACTTTAATTCTACTTTAATTCTACTTATGAAATAGATCATCAAAACACAATTTTCTTTCAGCGAACCAGTTGGAGCAGCGACTGCTGTTGGATCGAAAATTTATCAGATCCGAATTATGTGTGATTTCGACCTGGCTGATATCAAACTTTTTAATTCTATTGCTTAACTGGAGGTTAATGGTGCCGTTGTTGTCCAGACTCGCAACCAGATTCCAAACTGGCCTTCCTAACCTATCAGTCTGAACTGCCATAATAAAAGCGTATGTTGGACGGAACTTCGGCTAAGAATTACCGCAAGCTGCATGAGTTGGAATTATTGACTAGGATACTAGGACTACGCTCGTTATTTGTCAGAGAGCAATATAAATACAATGAAGCATAACTGCCTTGAAATTGAACTGATTGCAATTGTCACTGGTGGCCGTATCGTGCCACGTTTTCAGAAACTTACATCGGTAAAGATGAGTTACGACGGACTGGGAGTTGAATGAGTATCCTGATAGTAGCCGAAAGATTTATGTGAAATCAACTTGATTTTCTAACTTTTAGGCTTTAAAACCACTAAGGATAAATAGGAAAATATTAATCTGCTCTGTAATAATAATTTATTTCAAAACATTGATAAACCAAATTAAACGATGTACTTCAAAAACGTAACATATTTTTTCTCATTTCGGGTAAAATAATCTCGAAATAAAATATATGAATTTATTTCAAACAATTTTCCAAACAATGTTTAAAGCTTTTCCGAGATTAACATAAAACGGATATGTTGGTTCGTCATGTCCAGCCTTAATAATAAGACTTAACCATGAGAGCATCGAAGGTTCCCATCCCGAGGAAATGTTATTCACTTCTACAATAAACTCATTCGGCGGAAATCTAGGAGATGTGGCTATCCGGATACCATAAGCACATACAAACAGACATAACACTCGCAAGTTGTTCATCAAACAAGCATTTAACGATCAATTTAAAAGTATCGTAGTTGGTAGTACCGCCACCGGTGGCGCGCTTAGTCAATTCTCTTGCGTTTGACCTTTAAACACTACCACCATCTGTTCAGCGTACTACCCACCACAGTGTACTCAACATATGGCGGTAATGTTTTAGCAACGATGTTTTACAATGAGAAATATTCAATGTGTTATGTCTGTTTGCCTGTTCCATAAGTACGGATGGTGTGGAAAGCTTTCACAACTTCGCATTCAGCTTCAATTAGCGTAAATTCCTGAAGTTATCATCGCACGGTCAAGATCCTAATGGACGAAAAATCCATCTTTATCGATAGATGGTTTTGGGATAGACAAATTTGTATTTTCTTTTACAATAAATTTCCAAATAGCTCCTTATTCTTCCTTTGAATGACAGGTGAACCAGTTTGGCAATGTAATACTTCTTGAATCAAAACGGCTCCTCTTCGATTCCTACACACAATTATTAAATTAAAAAAATAATAGTTGAATTTCTAAATACGCACACACAAAATCCCAGATGACACCGGATAAATAAACAATGAAATGTATCTAGCAACGGTGGTAACAAACTAGCGCTAAATATTTCTTATGTATTTTTAAGTATTTTCAGGTATCAGTAAGAACTTTCTGAGTATAATGCGAGAAATACAAAGTTTAGAGTGGGATGCCCCTAGGATGGCGCAAGGGGTAGGTCACTCCGCACACCAATCTTGGGTCATCTTTTTTTACAGTGTGCCGCAGGTGTGCCGATTGTGCCGGTTATAGAGCAAGCTGCAATTGTTTGTAAAATACCCATCCCGGCAACCCGGTATGTCTGACACCTTGAATGTTTTGGTTGGAAATCGCAAGGATAAATCGGATTGAGGATGACGCGGGAAGTGCTGGGTGTGCGAAATGTTGGTATTGTATGTTCATAGAATGATAAAAGTCTTGGGTTTTAGGGTTTTATAATGACCTCAAAGGCACTTAGCACCCTCCGCGCTAGTTGTCTCAGAGCCAGAACATGTGTTCAAAGAGCAAGAACAGAAGCATACAGAGAGGAACACGAAGAGGAGTGTTTCGAGCGCTTAAACGAGAGATAAAGCAGAGCAAGTCAAACTGTTTTAAGGAGCTGTATGCCAACCCTTGGGGCGAGACATACCGAGTCGTGATGGCGAAGATCAGAGGTCCAACGATGTCCGCTGAAATGTGTTCAGAGAAGCTGAAAGTCAACGTGGTAGGACTTTTCCCGAAGCACGACCCATCGACCTGCCCACCTACACCGTACGGAGAAGGAGAGGGAGATATCGTCGAAGTCACCAACGAGGAACTCGTAGCAGTGGCGAAAGGATTGAAGGTGAAGAAAGCTTCCGGTCCGGATGGAATCCACAACGTAGCGTTGAAATCGGTGATCCAGGCGTACCACGACATGTTCAGGATGGTGCTGCAGAAATGCCTGGACGAGGGTCACTTTCCTGATAGGTGGAAGATACAGAAGCTAGTGTTGCTGCCGAAACCAGGAAAAACCACCGGGGGATCCAGCATCGTATAGGCCTATATGCCTGCTGGATACACTCGAAAAACTCTTGGAGAGGATAATCCTAAACAGGCTAACGAAATACACGGAGAGTGAGCACGGATTGTCGGAGAGGTAGTTCGGATTCCGGAAGGGGAGATCGACGGTGGATGCAATTCGGACAGTGGTCGAGAGAGCCGAGAACGCGTCCAAACAGAAGCGGAGAGGAGATCGATATTGCGCCGTGATAACGATAGACGTCAAGAATGCGTTCAACAGCGCCAGCTGGAAGGCCTTCGCCGAAGCGCTGCATAGAATGAGGGTCCCTGACTACCTGTTAAGGATCCTGACGAGTTATTTCCAGAACCGGGTTCTGGTCTACGAGACAGACATAGGACAGATATCGATTAGGATCACAGCGGGAGTTCCATAAGGCTCCATCCTTGGTCCAACGCTCTGGAAAGGGATGTACAACGGCGTGCTAACGATGAAGCTGCCCAAAGGTGTTGAGATCGTTGGCTTTGCGGACGACGTCGTATTGACGGTAACAGGTGGAAGTGTTGGCGACCGAAGCGATCAACATGATTGGATACAAGGAGCGAAGCTGCAGATAGCCCACCACAAAACGGAAGTGTAATTGGTTAGTAATTGTAAAGCGGTACAGCGGGCAGGAATCACCGTCGGGGAACACGCCTTTGTTTCGAAGCGCGTGCTGAAGTATCTGGGAGTGATGATTGACGACCGGCTGAACTTTAACAGCCACATAGAATATGCGTGCGAGATGGCGGCAAAGGCCGTCAACGCAATAGCCAGAATCATGCCGAACAATCCTGGTCCAAGCAGCAGCAAGAGTCGTGAGTGCGTACAGAACTATTTCGACGGAGGCAGTATGCGTTATCGCCGGTATGATCCCAATCGGCATCACCTTGGTGGAGGACTACGAGTGCTATATGACGAGAGAAACCAGAGGAGTACGAAAAATGGTGAGAACGGTGTCGATGGCTAAGTGGCAGCAGGAGTGGGATGCAGCATAGAACGGTAGATGGACACACAGGCTAATACCGATTCTTTCGACCTGGGTGAACAGGAAGCATGGAGAAGTAAACTTCCACTTGACGCAGTTCCTGTCTGCTCATGGCTGCTTGAGGAAGTACTTGCATCTTTAACGCCGTCAGCAGAGCAGTAACGCAGAACATGTCAGCGCTGCAGTGAAAATGGCGAGAAGACCACCTAGAAAGTAGTAATGTGCTCACACAAGTGCGAACTGAAAGCCGAAGCCGGGAGAACTCTCCGTCGGAGTAGGCTGAATCAACCACCGGAGGTTAGCCGCAGAGCACGTGACGCTGGGAGCTAAATGGCTCACAAATTGGAGAGACGATCAGCGAACTGGAAGCGCCAGTTAGCTGAGATAAAGTTAGGTGCGTAGTGCACAGCCCCCTCCGAAGTAATAGGGGTTCCGGAGGAAAAGGGCAAGGCGTCCAAGGAGGTTTTAGTGCGGTAAGAATCGCACACACCATATCACCGTGACCGCCTGGTCGTCAAGCGGTGGCATGATGGCCTTTTTGAAGGTTTCCGCCTAGCAAAAAAAAAAAAACCATCCCTGAATATATTAATAAGATGGCTTAAGCCGCCTACTCTCTATAAATAACTCACCGAATGTACACATTCTTGAAATGCCTGACAATGCTCCATTGACTGATAAGATCAACCCAGCAGACTAAGCCTACCCATGCAAACCTCTTGAAACCCTCCTGTATCCCAGCTATAAAAAGACAAACATCCACCTCTCGAACAGCAGAACGATTATTAATTCACTTTCACTTTGTAGCCATCAATTTGTGTTCACAATGCACCGCGTGGTCTTATTTTCAGTGCTTGCCATCGCTGCGTCATCGCTGGCAATGGCAATGCCATCGTCGAAAATCGTCGGGGGACAATTCGCCGAGCAGCACCAGTTCCCCTATCAGGTGGCTTTGTTCTTCAAGGATCGTTTCCGCTGCGGGGGTTCCATCATCGACAACAAGTGGATCCTAACTGCAGCCCATTGCGTTCTGGATGGAGTGATTCCGTATGTAACTCATTCAATTGTAGGAAACTAGAGATTTGTGTTACAAGTTGCATTTGTAGGATTGCAGGAGAGGACTTGACCGTCTACGCCGGTTCGGCAAGGCTCGAAGAAGAAGGTCAGTTCTTCACGGTGTATAAGGCATATCCCCATGAGCACTACGGTGATACCAAGAACGATATCGCACTGATCGAGCTAGACTATGAGATCGAATTCGACGATACTGTGGAGAAGGTGGAACTGTTCAACGGTGAGCTGAAACATGGAGATGAGGTGGTCATCTCGGGGTACGGTCGTGTGGGAACGGAACTGCCAGCTTCAGAACAGTTGAAATATAATGCCATGTACGTACAGGACGATGAACTATGCAGTGCGTTGATGGCTCAAACTGGGCCAGGATTGATTTGCCTGAACAACGAAGCCAACAACGGAGCATGCATGGGTGATTCCGGAGGGCCGGCCGTGTACGAGGACAAGCTAGTTGGTGTAGCAAACTTTGTGCTGAACGAGTGCGGAACAGTTTATCCGGATGGGTACGCCAAGGTTGCCTTCTTCCGGGACTGGATCGATGGAGTGATGAAGCAGTAAAGATACGAAGCAAATATAACGTTTATGTCTATCGCTTTTATGTGGCTTCCTTTGTTGAAGCACCCGCAGCTGCGCTGGAAGTACTTGAAAATTGCTCGCAATAAAGTGTTACCACGTTGCAACAAGTGGTGCGACTATAATGAAATTCTAATTAAAAATACATACCGCCTTACTCCGGTTCCGGTTACTGTTGTGCAATCTAGGAGGATGATCTCTGCGTTAGGTTCGCAGGAAAAGTATTGATATCGTGAGAAAACTAAAATTTCTCCAACTATCGATCATTTGTTTAAATCTAAAGCATTGCTGTCTCAATGTTTCATCAAGCATTAACAAACACCCCGCCAAGTGGATCACTCGCACAGGATTTAATTATCCCATCGTAATGGCTCAAGAAGCCGCGTGGGAAGCTAATAAAATGAAAATCCCTCTCTTATTAAAAGTCAACAAACAAGTCGACTGTGTGCGAATCGCATAAATTGTTGTCTTGTGCGCTTCCGCAACAAAAACTGTGTCTACTTCCGTGCCAGGGGGGTTGAGAAAGATAAACTCATCTTCCACCCACCTCTTGCTCACGGCCATAAACATGGGCAGTCGTTTTTTCATAATTTTCTACTCCGATGTGTTCGATCTCACAGCTTCTCATGAATTATTCCCCAAAACGACATCAAACAACCAAAGCTCATTAAATCATTAGCTGCGGAATCTTTGCCGAGGGATGATATCCGCTTTTTAACAGGAAAATATTAAACCCATCATGCATTCGAGAGTATGTGAATGAAGAAACGAGAGGAGAATTGGATGCATGAAACATGAGATGTTATTATTGATAACTGTCAAAAAGGATGATGAGGTCTTTTGAACTGGTTCTTCTGTTTCCAGTTGGATGTTGTTGTTTTTCTCGGTGGAATGTTTTGAAATGATGCGACTCACTCTTCTTGATCTTGATTTCTTTTGATGTTGGGATGTAGCTGTGTACGATTAGAAGAAAAGGCAACAGACAGGAATATCTCTAATCTAGGATTGTTGATTGGCTGGATTCTCGAAAGGAATGGATGTGTATGTGTGGCAGACCTGCAAAAGTGGGATGAATGATTGTTTATTATTTATGATGACCGATGGATGGACTTTAAAATTAATGACATAGTGATGTGCTGTGTTAGATATATGTATGTCTCAATGAAACAAACATACAACCTGGACCAAATTATCATTTGAAAATTGCATCGGTAAGATCTCAAGTAATCGGCGCCGGTGGTGTAGTGGTAAACGTGATCACCTCTCACCACAGCAGGCCTGGATGTTCTGAGGCATAACATCTCTGATCACGTTTTTCCGACCACTCACAGCCTTTGCTCTACATATTCCAGATCTTAGATGTAAAGTATTCATCACCTCCCAAATAACAATGATGGTTTTATGAAGGTTCTGTTGACCATGATTTGGACTTGTAGAATGCATTTAAACATCGATCAACTTGCAATGTTACTTGGGCTATTTCTTTTACCACCGGCCTATACTTACTGATATAGGTAAGTAGTAATATCATCATTCAGAATGTAATGTCACAAACAAACTTTTAAATTTTCAGGTATCAATAATCACTATTTTCATCAGCTACACGGTAGCCGTCCCAAACGATCAAAAGAAAACCTGAAAAAGCAATTAACGGTCCTTCTTAGGGCCACCAATTAAATAATGGAAACAGTTAAGATAATACATTATCGATCGGTTAAAAGAACTAAAAGCACTATATATTTGTTACGTCCAGTAGCGGTCCTACGTCAAGCTTCCGTTCGTATCCCTTAGCACAGACCCTTCTACTTTTTTTGTTAGAGGAATTTATTGAGTTTTTTTTAGCTGTGAATCAAATTAATCGGAATTAGTTATAAATAAGCACACCACCAAATTTTTTACCCTGCCGGAACCTGGGAATCGTACTCGTGACGACCACATTAGCAAACCTTGACACTACCAACTTTGCTACGCCAACACTTTGAACTGACGTTAACACATCTATATGACTTTCTACAACAAAATCACTTAGTCACTTTTCTCGACTAGTTACTTCAGCTTTGTAAAGGAGCAGAGTAAAAGCTGTAAAACTGCACACGTCTAAAAATAAACCTACACAGCAAAAAATAAATTTTAATATTACATCCAAGAGGATGCACTTCAATCATGTCGAAAATCTCACGTAATTTTTATGGCCACAACAATAAAAAAATACAGTAAAAGCAGCGTAATGTCAGTTCATGCACTGTATTAATGATAATTTTGTCCTTTTTGGCAAGTAATATTACACCATATTTTCAACACGATTGAAGTGCATCCACTTTGTGTGATATTAAAATTATTTTTTTGCTGTGTGGCTGACTGTAAAAATGCTTCCAAAGTAACGCTAACACAGCTTACTAGCTGAGTACAGGTGGTTTAGTTGTTGAAAAAGTTGAGGGTTGTGTCCAAAGCACGACCGCATTGATGACGTAGAACTACGAGATAATTTTGCTGTTCGATTCAATAATATATAAATGACAAAATAAATGGTTTAGAAATTTAATTGAAAATTTGAAACACTTGATGTTTTCAATGGATATCCCTTGGAGCTTTCAATAGAATTCATTTGAAATTATCTTTCTTATTCCTTCAGAACTCAATGCTCTCGAAATTTCGTTGAAGTTCTCATAAGAACTCTCTTTACATTGTTCTCGGAATTTATTTACAATATTCATTAGAAATAAACCTGTAATCCTCACCATTGGAATTTGTATCTTACAAACCTTATTATCTCTAGAATTTCTTTAGAATTTTCATCAAAATCATTGAATAAGTTCTTCAAAGTGATTGTATCCGGAATAGTAGTTGAGAAGATTAATATTTTCCAAAGAGAGGACGAAGTATATTTTTTCCCGGTTCATCATCGAAATTCACGGTATACAATATGCCTTATTCATCTGAATAACATTACTAGAGATAGTAATATTCTATCTAGTCACGACTATCCAATTTCCAATTTCTAGCCGAGATGGCAAGCTAAATACATTGAAAACGAATATTACTCGGAGAATGAGTCTCTTTTACTGATTCGTATGGAGAATTTTTTGACGTAGGACTACGTCTGTGATTTTTATATGGGGGTACACTTTGTGAAAACCGAAAATGGAACATGTAACAAAATTATGAAAGATTGAAATGAAAGCTTTCCCTGGACCAATTTCAGTAATTTTACCACCAATGGATCAGAAATATTTCTACGCATTTGTTAAATTAAAGACTGTATCATTTTTTTAAATAACATTATTGAAAATTTCACGAATGTGCAACTGTTGTTATGATAGTTAAAATTATCACCGATTGCCTGCGAAAAGTGATTTCCCAAACACAGATTTCAAAGTTGAACTCCATCCGGTCTCACCAAACGGTGTTTATGAAATCACCGCGTGGTGAGTGGTGGTGTTCTGCAGTACACAATAAAAGGCTGCCTGCAAGCAGCAAGCTGCAGCCCACATGAGCATCCATAGAAGGAAGAAGAAATCGCAGCGCTATTTATCGGAATCAGTAGCTCTTCGTGAGTAGCTCTGGGCTGTCCATGTCAATCGCGTCATACTAAAGAGTATAAACAGAGAGAACCCTGCTCAAATTCCTATTCCTACACAAAACATAAGCTCCTGCTGCAGTTAAAAAATAAGATTTTATTACATAAGACCACTAAGTCCTACGTCACCATTGCGTACAACCCCATAGGGCTGTCCCTTGTAGTTTTTAAATCGTAGTTTACTCATGTGTTGAATAACCTACGCTTTAAGAAAAAAATTCACACGAATGAGTAAAATTGACTCACAACTGAGTAAAAGTTATTCATTCTCTGAGTTAGTTCGTTTTCTGTGAGCAACGCAACGAACAACCCTGTTTATCACTCGGCAGCCAAACTATGACTGCAGTCAAACTTTATACGTTTCGCTTACTTAAGCATTTGGATTATCATTCTATGCCCCTCCTTTTTTCTATTTTAAGCTGATGTAGGTGAATGCATAGAAAAATGCTTCGATGTCCACGCTGCAGGTGAGCTATACTCTGAACCTTCACAGATCTACCAATGACCTTATAAGACTTCGTAGCACCATCCGAAGGCAGTACCAACGCTCTGGTCTGCCTGTCCTTAAGATCTACTGTAATCGCCTAACAAAAACCATCCAAGCCAGGATGGTGTACCTCAGAAATAAGAACTTTGATAACAGGATCCGCTCTCTCCCAGATTGTGCAATGCCCCTTTTGGAAACCATCAAAAATTCTTAAAAATAAGCCAAGGCCCATTCCACCACTGACCCCACTGGATAGTCCCGGCGACCCAGTGGTTCATATGATAACTTTTGAATAGAAGGCTGCCGCGATAGGTCAACACTTCGTCAGCTCTCATAATCTCGGACAAAACATCGTCAGTCCTCACGAAGCTGAGGTTGCTGAAAACGCAACCAAACTCCATCAGATTCCCAATATTTTTTTCCGAGGAATCCGAGATTAAGGCTGATGAACTGTTGGCCTATATCAAATCATCTAAAAACATGAAGGCCCCAGGTTTCGACAACATCCTGAATCTGGAACCCAAACACTTGAGTTCCAGATTCTACAACTATCTGGCACTGATTTTTAATGCTGGAAGTCAGCTAAGTCATACCCATCCGGAAACCTGGGAAGGATCCGTCCTCTCCTTCAAGTTATCGACCAATCAATCTTCTCTCAGGGTTATCAAAACTGTTCGAAAGAGCAGTCTACCACCAGCTCCTAACATCTGCCGAAGAAAACAACTTGTTACTCGAGGAACAGTTTGGTTTTCGGAAAGGTCGGTCGACTCGAGTAACAAACATTCTCAGACGGAACAAGTCTGTTTCGAAAACATCTCCCATGGCGTTGTTGGACGTTCAAAAAGCGTTCGACAATGTCTGGCATGATGGCCTGGTGTTCAAATTGTAGCAGTCCCAAGAAGGGTTGCTTCCACTCACTTGCTATAAAAAAATGATTTCCTGAATTTTGAAATCATTAGATGTTATAATGTTGTTTTGTACTTGTTAGATACAAGAACAGGTTAAAACGCAAGTCTTTGACTCATAAAACCTGTCAATTTCACTACGAGAGTGTAACAATCAGCGATC